GGTTCAGCACATTCCTCCTCTTTAATAGCATTCCACTGCCTTCAGGATGAGGTAAGAACTCCTTATCAGGACAGAACTGGTCCCCAGGACCCAGGCCCTGGTTCTTCAGTTATAAGTTCCTCTTGTCCATCCATCCCTCCTCCCACCCCTCCCTTTTCCATTCCTTCTCTCCTGCCTCCCACTCCCCAGGAACACCTGCTCATCTTGGAAAGAACAATGCTTTCCAAGTAGAATGGGTCACACTTCTCTTTTGCCCCTTTACCCTACGCCAAGGTACTTCATGTGTTTATAGCAACTTGAGAACAAGGCCTATATTTAATCCACCTCTGTATCTATAGATCCTGGAGCATGGAAAGTGCTCAGTAAATGTTGGTTGATTGAATGAACACATGAGTAGAAGAGAATAAAGCCCCTATTGGAGCCACAAAGAAGCTATGGCATTGGAGATTCTGCTCAGGGTTCAAACCTGGGGACTTTTCTAGGGAAGGAGAATTGACCTTGGATGAGCATCTTCCTAATGTCAGGCACTCTGCTGGGCTTTTTTTTCGGGGCGGGGGGGGGGCTTTTAAAATATGCCTTTGATTTTAAATCCTCACCAAAGCCCATTTTATGGATGGGGACAGAGACTTACAATAAGTAACCTGTCCAAAGACACAAGTTAACAGATGACAGAGGTAGGATTCAAATCCAGTTTTCCTGGCTCCATAGTCTGTGCTCTTTCAGCCTGTCTACTTATGGTCCTATCCAAAACCTGCCCTGCCAGCTATCACTTACCATTACACCGGCTTTTCAACTCTAATATAGCCAATTCCTCACGCTCTGGTTTTACTCAGTCCTGACTCCACAGCCTCCCGTATCCAGCATGGACCCTAAGGTCAGGCCAGAGGAGCGCGAGCCAGGGTCAGGATTCAAACTCTGCTTGCTCTCTCCAGTCACCATGGAAGAGGCTTATATGCAGGGTCCACTGACTAACTCCCCCGACACCCCCAAGAAGCCCTGACAATTACAACTCTGCCAAGGGGGGGGATTTAATAACTCTCCTCAGATCTTCAGTCGGAGTTTCCGACTGAAGCAGCAGTCCAGGGCAGCAGTCCAGAGCTCCTCAGCAGACGTGATTGAAGTTGGACACAGGGGGGACTTCATATGAATGAGAGTGATAGCTTAAAAGGAAGAGGGAGGCTTGTGGTCTCTTTCTCAGTAGGGCATTATTCTGGGCGCAGGGGCCTAACTCAGAACTCACAGGTGATGCTCATTTGTACAGAATCCTCCCAGTCTGGCCAGCTGAGGCGCTCCCCTCGACCTTGCAGCACAAGGGGTAGGGTTTCAGGTGGGGTACCCGGGCAGCAGAATGGGGGAAGGAGGGAGGGAGGGAGAGGGAAGGGAAGGAGGGAAGAGGAGGGAGCAAGGCTGGGCAGCTCCCGTCTCCTTGGAAATGCCTCCCTGGCCCCGCCCACATCTGGAGGCGATTGTGATGTCACCTGTGGAACTTCCAGCCTTTTTCCTGCCCCAGAGTCAATGAAACCTCCCGCCCCAGCCCTGGCGACTAGTTGGCCGCTGGACCATGGGCTCCAGCCAAGCCCGGCACTTCTTGGGCAGCGGCTTGGGCCCCCGGTGCGGCACAGCAATGCCTCCCAGCCTTACAACCGGAGGCCTCAGCTCTGGCTTCAACCGGACCACTCCAACTGAACGCGCAGGCGGTTCTCTAGGTCCTCAGGACCCCAGTTCTCAATCATTGGTCCATGTCTCGACGTGAGCCCACCCCCAGATCCTAACTCCGCCCCAGCCAGTCCTTGGCCCCGCCTCCTTCGTCGGGCTCTCTCAGGTTCCACACCCCCCTTGGGTTCTCAAGCCAGACCCCATGCCACGCCCCCAGCTGGAAGCCCTCCCCTAATCTGCTGCCACGTCCCCTCCTTACCGGTGCTGCTCTCGTCCCACCAGCTGGCATCGTCCTCAGTTTTTTCCTTAGTCCACCTTTCAATCCTCAGTGTCGTCCTAACCCACATATCTCTCAGCCTAGTTCTTCGACTCTACAAGACTCTTCCTCGCAGAAGTCCAACCCTGAACCTCAGCTTGGCCGAGTCCAACGTAAACCCCAATCTCAGCTTCGCCCCAGTCCAGCCCTTAACTCCGCCTCATGCTTGCCCAGTCTCCCGCCTCCCTCCGCTCTAGGCTGCGTTGTCTTAGCCCAAGTCTGAGCTTCCGCGCGCTCCTCATCCGGGTCCTCCCAGTTCATTCCGGGCCTCTCCCTCTTTGTTCCTCTTTAACCTTAGCACCTCCCCGTTATCTCAGGCCTAAACTTTAGCTCGGCCGCTGAGGCCCAGCCCTCAATCCCATCCCTAGTTCCTCTCCAGATCTGCTCCAGGTTTAGTCCTACCCCCAGACCCTAGCCCCGCCCCTAACCCCGTTCTTAGCCCCGCCCCAACCATCTCGCAACCTCCGGGCCCCTCCCAATCCTTCGGAACCCAGCAGCTGCCCTTAGCCCCGCCCCCAATCTTCACTCGGGCCCCTGCCCGCGTGCCTAGGGAGCTACGCCCTCTAAACTCCAATCCGCCTGGATCTTCCAAAGTCTCTCCTTCCCTGGCGGGAGGCCGGGCTCGCTCTCGCTCTCTCTCCCCGTCCGCAGGCCCCTGCACTGGAGCCCAGCTAATGAAGACGGGATGTCGCCTCGCAGCCCCCCGTGCGGCGCCCACCCACAGCGCCCCCTCCTAGCCCCCATGGGGCACCCTGTATTGAGACAATACTGCCCAATATAGACACCAACATAGAGCCAAAGAATCGTGGTCACTCTTCCCCCAAATATTTATTATAATAGTTAAGGTTTTTGAGCTCTTCCTGTGTGTTCGTGCTTTATTTCACTCTTGCAACCTCATGTCGTATCTCCATAGGCTTGCGCCATGTGGGGAGCAGGGCAAGCTGCACGCATAGTCACCTACTACACACGCCCCTCACAGCGCACAGCCCTCTCACCCTTAAGTATAGTATACACACTGCACATGCATGTATCACAGCGCAGGTAAAAAAATCTACTCACCACACACGGACCAATGAAACACGCACACATGCACACGCCCCTCACATACACCACCCAGAACACAGACCCATACTCCTGCTGCCCACACTCCACGCAACACAAACACTCCACAGTACTATGGTGCAGGACACACACACACACACACACACACACACACACACACACACTGTAAGGCAAGAGTTGGGGATCACAGTCCTGTAAGGGAACAGAGATGGAAAAACAATTCCAGGAGAGTGTGAAAAAAGTGTTACAGCCACATCACTAACTTTCCACACGTCACACCTCTCAATTTCTCTTGGTACCAGGCTCCAAAGCCAGGATATGCCTCAAAGGATGGAGAGAAGGGAAAAGGATGTTGCTTAAACTTTGTTTTCTCCAGAGCCATCAAGGGCCTCTCCTGTTGCTGCTCTGCATGATCTCAACCTCCACCTTCCTCAAGACCCAGCAGCCGGAGTGCAGGATCACCACCCAGACCCTCTCACCCACTGTAGCTTTAGAGAACTCTAAGAACAGCAGGGAGGACTTCCCTGGCGGCGCAGTGGTTCAGAATCCGCCTGCTAATGCAGGGGACACAGGTTCGAGCCCTGGTCTGGGAAGATCCCACATGCTGCAGAGCAACTAAGCCCGTGTGCCACAACTACTGAGCCTGCGCTCTAGAGCCCGTGAGCCATAACTACTGAGCCCATGTGCCACAACTACTGAAGCCCACGTGCCTAGAGCCCATGTTCCACAATAAGAGAAGCCCCCCGCTCACTGCAACTGGAGAAAGCCCGTGTGCAGCAACAAAGACACACACAGCCAAAAATAAAAATAAATAAAATAGTTTAAAAAAAATAAATAAGAACAGCAGGGGAGGGGAAGCCAGGAGAAGGGGGAGAGTGCAGAAAAGCCAACTCTTCCAGAATAGAGTAGTGGGTAAGAATAGAAGCAAAAGATCGGGATTGACATATATACACTACTATGTACAAAATAGGTGACTAATGAGAACCTACTGTATAGCGCAGAGAACTCTACTCAAGTGCTCTGTGGTGACCTAAATGGGAAGGAAATCCAAAACAGAGGGGATATATGTATACGTATGGCTGATTCACTTTGCTGTATAGCAGAAACTGACACAGCAGTGTAAAGCAACTATACTCCAATTTAAATTTTTTAAAAAAAGAATGGAAGCAAAGGAAGAACATTTGCTGACTGGGAACGAGGATCTGTGTTCGAATCTTGACCCTCCATGACCTCCCAGGATGACACCAGGCCACTTGTGTCCCTCCATTGTTGGCCCAGATATCTGAGACACTTCTAGCCAATCTCTGGCCCTCTGGATGTCAACAGTGAGCCAGGTTCTTGGTCACTCTTCACCCAAACTGTTGTAATAGTTAAGGTTTTTGAGCTCTTCCTGTGTATGTTAGTGATTTATCTTATTTTATCCATGAAACCTCATTTTACAGATGATGCAACTGGGAGTTCCCTGGTGGCCTGGTGGTTAGGATTCTGGGCTTTCACTGCCATCGCTCAGGTTCAATCCCTGGTCAGGGAACTGAAATCCCATAAGCTGCATGGCATGCACCCCCGAAAATGATAATAGAGATGAGGAAACTAAGTCACAGAGGATAAGTGATTTGTCTGAGTGTCCCAGGATGGACAGCAAGGATTCAAATGCAGATCCTCTTGACTTGGAGCACGTGTTTTTTTTTTGAAGAGGGAAAAAGGTATGTCTTTTTTTTTTTGGCTACATTGGGTCTTAGTAGCCCGTGAGACATAACTACTGAGCCCATGTGCCACAACTACTGAAGCCCACGTGCCTAGAGCCCATGTTCCACAATAAGAGAAGCCCCCCGCTCACTGCAACTGGAGAAAGCCCGTGTGCAGCAACAAAGACACACACAGCCAAAAATAAAAATAAATAAAATAGTTTAAAAAAAATAAATAAGAACAGCAGGGGAGGGGAAGCCAGGAGAAGGGGGAGAGTGCAGAAAAGCCAACTCTTCCAGAATAGAGTAGTGGGTAAGAATAGAAGCAAAAGATCGGGATTGACATATATACACTACTATGTACAAAATAGGTGACTAATGAGAACCTACTGTATAGCGCAGAGAACTCTACTCAAGTGCTCTGTGGTGACCTAAATGGGAAGGAAATCCAAAACAGAGGGGATATATGTATACGTATGGCTGATTCACTTTGCTGTATAGCAGAAACTGACACAGCAGTGTAAAGCAACTATACTCCAATTTAAATTTTTTAAAAAAAGAATGGAAGCAAAGGAAGAACATTTGCTGACTGGGAACGAGGATCTGTGTTCGAATCTTGACCCTCCATGACCTCCCAGGATGACACCAGGCCACTTGTGTCCCTCCATTGTTGGCCCAGATATCTGAGACACTTCTAGCCAATCTCTGGCCCTCTGGATGTCAACAGTGAGCCAGGTTCTTGGTCACTCTTCACCCAAACTGTTGTAATAGTTAAGGTTTTTGAGCTCTTCCTGTGTATGTTAGTGATTTATCTTATTTTATCCATGAAACCTCATTTTACAGATGATGCAACTGGGAGTTCCCTGGTGGCCTGGTGGTTAGGATTCTGGGCTTTCACTGCCATCGCTCAGGTTCAATCCCTGGTCAGGGAACTGAAATCCCATAAGCTGCATGGCATGCACCCCCGAAAATGATAATAGAGATGAGGAAACTAAGTCACAGAGGATAAGTGATTTGTCTGAGTGTCCCAGGATGGACAGCAAGGATTCAAATGCAGATCCTCTTGACTTGGAGCACGTGTTTTTTTTTTGAAGAGGGAAAAAGGTATGTCTTTTTTTTTTTGGCTACATTGGGTCTTAGTTGCAGCACACGGGATCTTCGTTGAGGCATGCGGGATCTTTTGTTCTGGCACGCGGGCTTCTCTCTGGTTGTGGTGTGCGGGTTTTTCTCTAGCTGTGGCTCTCAGGCTCCAGGGCATGTAGGCCTGGTAGTTTGTGGCACGCGGGCTCTAGTTGAGTCGCGTGAAACCAGTAGTTGTGGTGCCCGGGCTTAGTTGCCCCACAGCACGTGGGATCTTAGTTCCCTGACCAGGGATCGAACCCGCGTCCCCTGCATTGTAAGGTGGATTCTTTACCACTGGACCACCAGGGAAGTCCCTGTATGTCTTATTTTTTATCCAATTTAGTTTTTTAATTGTTTTAAAATATAAGAATACGCTACTGATAATTTTGTTAACTAATATAGTCAGATGTTATCAGATAGCACATCTTCTGAGTAAGAGCCCTGCCTCTACCTTCCTGGGCCTTCTGGTCAACCCAAAAAGCACCCAAAACTCATTCACTTCTCACTGTGTTCCCCTCAGAGAAGTATTTTTTACAGGACAGGCAGGAGGAAGGTGAAACAAAATAAAAATATTATCCAATGGTGGACTTGGGTATAAGCATGAAGTAGCAGGAGAAATTTGGGGGGAAGGGACCAAAGGAAAAGAGCTCTCAAAGATCTCAAAAATTTATTCAGATGTCATCCAGTGAGGGTTCGGTGCATCCCCCAAATGTGGCACCTGAGCTCCTAGCCTGCCTGAGGCCTGCCCAGAGGCCAGGAATGGCCAGAATCCCAGAAGGCTCCAGTCCCAAGATCACCATACAGCCCTACCCATTCCACATCCCTGATCCCCCACAAAGGACTCCAGCACCTTACCTGCTAATAACAGATATTTTAATGCATAAGGCATAGTGTGAGGCTGGGACCATTAAGCATCCTCAAACCCAGAGGGCCCAGCAGGCTGAGTAAGAGCAGCAGGGCCCACCCACCTCCCTACCACTGGGCAACCTGGAGGACCCTGGAGGAGAGGGGCATCCAGTTTTTGGCACAGTGCCTGGGAGCAGGAAGTGACTAGCCTGGTCCCAGCTACACCTCTGGGGATACGGCCACCAAGGGGCAGCTCTTTGGTCTGGAAAAACAGTCAGTGCAAATGTCCAGGGGTTGAGCTCTGGGGGAGTAAAGGTGGCACACTGCCCCAGGGCTGGGCAGTCTCTGGACAGTACCCTCACCCGTCATGGGCAACACATGGGCTTCTTCTTGCTGGCAGTTAGGTAGAGGTTGCTGTCATCACTGTTGATGCCTGAAGAAGGGTGAGAAACATGTGAAGCAGGGATTGGAGGGTCCGTGTGCCCTCTGCCACCCTCATCCAGGCGGGCACTCACGGATAACATCCCCAATACGCCGGGACCCCGATTTCTCCAGTTCAGCCAGCACGTTGGCCTCAAAGGTCAGTGCCGTCACACGAAAGAAGAATTCCCGGACGTTTTCACCTGACACAGGGAGCACTTTCAGGCCTGGGGTCAATGAGCACAGCTGGAGTGTAGGAGTGAGAGGCAAGGTAGGCAGGAAAGCCACA